AGATAGAAGAGTTTGTTGAATCTGACGTGACATGTTCGTACGAACCCTTTGTACGAACAAAAGTAAGAGAAATTTAGGAGAAGAATACGAACATGTTCTTGCATGAGGCCCAATGATCTAAAGGGAAACTTTATTTTTTATGAACCTCTATAGAAACCGGTTGCGTTCACACCTTGAATATAAAAGTGATCCGTTTGGTTTTGATTTAAACTGAAAGCAGAAAACGCGTGGGGGGGGGGGGGGGGTCTGTTTGTGAAGAAGTCTGATCCACATAAAAGACTCTGAAAACCTCAGAGCAGATTCTTATAAAATCACTTTTCACTCAGTGAGTTTTGATTTTATTACAAACTTCAGGCTTTACTGCAAAGCTCCGCCCTGAAGCTCCTGCTCATACGGACCRGTGGACCCTCAGCATCCCTCGTCCAGCCGGACCCCCAGCTGCCAGAGCTGGTCCAAAAGGCCCTGAAGGTGCTGCCGAGTCTGGACTGGAGCCCGGACCCGTCTTCCAGGACGGCCTGCGGGTTCTGGACTTCTTTGAGGAGAGCGATGCCCGACAGGAGGGCGGCTGCCTCACATGTGAAGAGAGGAAACATTTTTCCATCCAGACGTGTTAAAAAGTGACAAAGTGAAACTTGTTGAAACTCAGGTTCTGAAAGAAGAAAAGCTCGGGTCAAATRTTTCCATGTTGACAAAGATGTTGGAAAAAAAAACGAATCACTTTCCACTCGTCTGTCAGTTTGACTTCATAAAACTGAGTCAACATCAGTTTACGTCCTCGTGCAGCAGGATGTCACAACAAACCCTACAACCTGAAACCAGCTGTGTGCAGTTCTGCTAATCAGCTAACTGCTAACAGCACGACTAGTTTCTCCTTTAGTGGATTAGCCTTTTACACTAACTTTGAAAACCGTTAGCAGACCAATTAGCGTGTGCTAATTGAGTTTTTACCAACTTTAATCCGCTAAGACGTGATGCAGACTGAGGAAGTTGTCTGGGCAGTTAGCCTAATGTTAGCAACTGTTAAYTGTTGAAGACGTSATGCAGAGTGAGTCGTCTTAGCGGTTAGCAATTAACGCTGAGTGTTAGCGTATGCTAATCTTTGAAGGTGTGACGCAGTGGGTCATCTTAGCGATTAGCTAAGTGTTAGCACATGCTAATTTTTGAAGACGTGATGCAGAGTGAGTCATTACAGCGGTTAGCAGTTTAGTGTTAGCGTCTGCCAATTTTTGAAGTTGTGATGCAAACTGAGTGAGTCGTCTTAGCAGTTAGCAATTAGCTCTTAGTGTTAGTGAAYGCAAATCTTTGAAAACATGATGCAGACGAAGTGAGTCGTTATGGTGGTTAGCAGCAATTMGTTTGTTAGCCTCTACCAATTTTTAAAGTTGTGATTAAGACTGACAGTCATCTGCAGTTAGCTTTTAGTGTTAGCTTCAGATAATCTTTAAAGACATGACAGACGTAGACACAGCTTAGCAGTGTTAGCTTCTGCTAAATTATGTTTTGCCTGTTTTAATTCTGTTAACTGCTAGCTAACAAGCTAACGCCAACAGATTTGTCCGTCCACCAGTCTTCAGCTCGAAGACCAAGTTGTCTTTGCAGTTAGAGATTAGCTGCTAGTTCCCACTCATTTACACTTTAGATGTTTAGCGTAGCTAAACATTTGGTAGCTGTGCCCACCACTGCCTGAAATAAACACATCTGACTGTTTTCAAGTAAACATTAATGAGAAATGTTGGATTAAATAAAAACAGGCTGCAGTTTCAGGTGTTTGTTTTTATTCGGGGATTCCTGTTCTGCTGTTACAGGTGAACCACTGAGAATCACAAGATCTCATCTGAATCATGGGGGGATTTCCTGCACAGGGTAAGTCAGCATGATGTGACATTTACCTGAAGTAAAGTTAGAATACAGGAGCAACAGAAAAGACTGGTATAAGTACACAGTTAGTACACAGATCCTGTTTGAAMCATTCAGGTTTTCAAATGGATGAAATTATTAAATCACATTTCTGATGCCTGCTTAAGACAAAAAACAAAAACACAAGAGGGAAAACAAAACTGAAGTTATTTACACACAACACAGCTCGCACTCCAACACGTGGGTTTAAAAAGAAAAATATTGTCACTATGTACAATTTTAGACAAACTTTCAAAAACAACAACGCATGAACGCTAACGAGCTAAATATCCTAATTAGCCATCAGGTGATTCTCCTCTACCTCCAGCTCAGGTCGGTGAACAACTCAGAACCGTGAGAAAATGATTACGTCTTTGTTGTCGTCCAAATCGTACGCGCCTCGGCCCGGTTCGTACCCAGTGTGGCAGCTGGCCCTCCTGATGTCTGCTGTAAGGAGAGCTTGTGATCAGGTCGATCCATTCAGGATCAGGTCTAATTAAACTCAGATTCCTGTTTTCAGCTACACTGAATCATCCTGATGTGGCTCGATTTGTTTTGCTTATCAGGAAACCCCTGAGAAACGGGTCTGAATCTTATTTTTAGAGGATTTCTTGATGCCTTAGAAAGAGGGAACCTCAAACCAGGTCTGGATGTTGGGATTCACCAGCTGCCGCTAAAAAGAGCTTCAATATGTAGAGAAAGTAGCAAAATTTTATGTATTTTCTGCTCAAATATCATGGTTGTTGCTCAGAGAAGTCAATTTGATACATTTCCTTCTTTGGACCCACAGATGATCATAAATCCAAACGTGGTTTTGATGAAATCATTAAGTGACAGACGGCAGCGTTACAGCTCCTCTAACGATCAGAGGAAGTTTATACCTGACATTCATCAGTTTATTCTCATTTTGTCGTCTCAGTTTTCGTGTTTTAAACTCGTGGAAACCAGTTCCGGGTGCGTGCGTCTCGTCCTGAGCGCCGCCGCAGCGTCGGGATCAGAGGTGTAAACACAAGTTCAGTCTCAAACAGAAGACTGAGGGATTATTCAAAAAGCTGTTGTGTTAAAAAAAAAAGGCAACAAAAAACCAAACATTTGAGCTTTTGTGGTTAAACTGTACAAAAATCACTGGTTCTGGTTTACAAGTTTTCAGCCTGAGCTTTTATCTTCCTCTCCCAGAGTTTCTGGTTGTGAGAGAAGCCCTGCTTGCCCTTGTTGAAGGAGTTGGGTCCTGCAGACGTGGGAGTCTCCCTGAGAGAAACAGAAACAAGCTCGTCTCTTTGGTTTGACTCTAAAGCAGACAGGAAGCAGCTGCTGTTTACCTGCCGATGTTCTTCATCCTCATCTTTGCCTCTGGAGGCATTTCCTCCGGTTCACTCTGAGCAGAAGGAACAAAATGAACAAACCTGCTCGTTTGTTTGTTTGTTTGTTTGTTTGTTTGTTTTAAACTCACATCATCGTCTTCATTAAAAACAGACGCCAGCCCCGGTTTCTTTGGAGGAACTGGTGGAACCGGCTCTTTGGGTTTCTGCAACAAATCAGGGACAGAAGAAGAAAAAAGGTCAGACTGAAGACTTTTACCAGTTTAACGCCACTTAAAATTATTTTTTTATTATTGTTGTTCGAATATTTTATTTTTTGAAAACAGAGACAGATATAAAACACTTTCTTCTGCTACCTTTTATTTTTATTTGATTTGTATAGTTTTGTTGTTTGTGAATGTGTTTTGTTGTTTAAATAAGACCAACTTCACAATAAAACACAAATGGAAAAAAAATGCAGTTAATTTTAGCCACAAAACGAGCGGTCAGAGGCGCTCAGTAAATTATTTAAAAAACACAAATGTTACCAATGTTACCAATCATTTAATATTTGTAATTTTTAAAATTACAGTCTACTGTATTTTAGGACCTTTAAAAGATTGATTTAAGACATTTTAAGGCTAATGAAGGTCTTATTATTGGATTGATGAATATGATGSTTTTTAAGGATCTGCAGGAGCCCTGAGGTTACACAGGAAGAGATGCTGTTCAAATAAAAACAGGAAGATAAATAAATTTAACGTCTGCAGAGAAATACGATCATTTTAACAGATTTTATTTGATGTTTGGAAGCAGAAAGACTTGCATCAGACTAAAAGTCTTTCTGATCGTGTTTAGAGACACTGAGCTACAGCAGAACGTTAGATTATTAATGTCGTTATTCTTCGGCCCACTCCTTCGAATGTGTAAATATCATTCACTACTGTTCTTCTTTTGCTTGTTTTTTGYTTTATGTTTAGTTTCTCTTGCACAACTTAATTTATTCTTTTATAACATCACATTCATTTCCAAGAAGTCTGACCAGCAGATTATTTCACTTCATTTGAGAAATTAGAGAAGATTCAGACTCAAATAAGTGAAATAATCTGCCGCTCTTGGAAGGAGGAAACTTTTCAGGCTTTGGCTTTAATGAATGTGATGTAACGGTGAGAGGGTAGAAGAATAACTAGATTAATAATCTAACATTGTGCTGGAGCTCAGTGTCTCTACACCAGATGAAAAGATTGATTAGATGATRGTTTTTGCAGCACTTGTTCTGTAAAATAACTCCAGCTTTTTGTTAATGTTTACTTTTGAGTCCTCGGGGGTCCGGCAGAGGCAGGTAGAGGAACTCATCCTCTGAACTCCACCTGGACAGCAGGTTTAATCTGGTCTTAGCTGGTTTGTTGTTCAGCAGATCCAGTTTCTTTACTGGTGCATGTGGGAGCTGCACAACTACATTACAGTTAAAACTAAAGAAATAAAGCTGTCCGGATCATTTCCCCTCTGTTAGAGCCTCGCATTTTAGTTGAGCTTTTATCATTTATTACAGTTTGTTAAATTATATTACTAACAACGACTGAGTGTCATAAATACAAACTGATCCTGAGCAAAAACTCAGACATTTTTATGTCTCCTGAGCTCAAACCCTCAGAGATGGTTTCTGGTTAGGGTTAGGTTAGAGCTTCTGGACTCACCGTTGCTCCCAGTTTGATGGAGATGGGGTTCGATTTCGTCGCCACCTTGCTGCTCATGCTAAAGCCGATTTTGGAGGCTTTGGAGGGCGCCGGTTGGTCGTCGAAGGACTCGTCCTCGTCCTCGGGGGCGAGGTGCTGAGATGTGCGTTTGACGGTGAGCCCCTTTCCTCCCACAGTGCTACAAGACACAGGCTTAGTTTTCACTCTGTCTCCCTCCTCCTGCGGCCCTGCTTGAAGCAAGACAACTCGCCGAGGTGAACAACTGCTCTGTGGGAACTGGAGGAGTGTTAACGGCTGTTACTTTCACCTGTGCAGCTAATCATCAAACCAAAGGTGATTAAAAAAGTCCCCTGCTCTAAAACGATCAGTGACTCTCAAACAGAGAGGTGACACTTTACAGCTGGAACTAACGTTTGATTTAACGCTGCCACCAGGCCTGCAACAACAGAACAGAACCAACAAGAAGGAAGCAAAAAGTAAAGATTTAGAGAAAAATCATAACTGCTAAATGTAAATAAATTCTAATTATAATAATAAATTAATAAGTTTTACATCTAAAAACAATATTTTATTATTTTTCTTCTGTTTTCCTCATTCAGCAACATATTAAATTTCTGTTTTATGTTTTATAGCTAAAACCAAGTTTATATTAACGAAGGAGAAATACACATTTTTCAGTCAGTATTTAATACAGCTGCAAAATAAATTGTTAAAATGTTTATGATGTGCTTCTGTTTTTAATTCAGCAGATTATAAAAAAATCCTTCATGTTATGAAAAGACCCTCTTGTTTCAATTAAAAACTCATTTTTAAAAAAATGGCTGCTTATTAATTAATCATTAGTCGATCTAGAAGATAAATCAACTTCAGATTAATTCATTAATCGATAACTTGTATCCCTAATTAATTTATATCTACTCATATTTATGTAATTAATTGTTTTAATGGTTTGGCCGATCAACTGAAAAAAAGAAAATCGACATATTAATCGATTATTAAAATAATTGTTAGTTGCAGCCCTGGTTTCCACCTGACCTTGAGTTTGTGTTACACAAAAACAAACCACAGGAAGTGAGAAACCAGCGCACAAAGACAGGAACAAATGACAGGGATAACAATAAAAACACACTTCAAATGTGTAAAAACGATTAGATACTTTCCTTGTATTATTACAGTGATGCAGGCAGGAYGTATCACCCAACATATTTTAAAGACGCTGTGAAACATTGAACCCCAACAACAAGAATGAACTTCTTAAATTATAGGGAGAAAACTTGATTTACAAACTGGAAAAGTAAAAAAAAAATGTGAACAATAGAACATTAACCATCAACGCTGTGACAAAGTAAACTCTGATTAATAAAGTCAATATTTATGAAAACACCTGCACTTGTTTTTGTTATATAGTACTTGGTAAATCTAAATTACTACTGAATTACTACATTAATACATTAACATTATGTCTATTTATTATGACTGCATTTTTCTGATTGCAATAACAGATAAAACCTTATCATCATAGTCSTAAAAACACTTCTCATCATTTCTATATTAACATAAGCAGATGATGATGAAACGGTGTTGATTTGTCAAAGTTCAGTTTCCAGTGAAATGACATTTTATTGTTTATATTGATTTGTAGTTTGTTTTGAAGTGTAAGTTGTTTAGTTGTGTTTTAATTTTAAGGCCTGGAAACGTTTCTCCCCCCACATGAGCTCATGATGGCAAAGACAGTTGGAGAACCACAGTGGATTAAATTAATTTAGATGAAAGCTAATGCTTTAAAGTGAGCTAACTAGCCTCGGCTAGCTACTWACTTACACATTAGCTGACATGTAAACAAGTTGCCAAAAGGCTATAAAAAATGTCATAGCATAAAGTAATTAAGTTAACTGCTTTGTTACATCATTAATGCCAAAATCCTCAGAGTTCAGTTAATAATGGGTCAAGATGTAAACAACGTCGATCATATTAGCATGCTAATGCTAACACGAAGTTAAACAATTGGGAGTTCAACCATCGTTTCCCTCTAAGTTGGGTTTATTTTGACACATTTGTGAAAATACATTCACTGTCTAACACTATGAATATTTAGTTTTAAATGTGTAAAAAAAAGCACAAGTATCACCTCCGTCTTCGGAGAACCGTCTCCTGCTTTTCTCATTATCCGCCATGACCTCTGCTGCAATATCCGGTTGGCACCGCTAGGCCTGAGCGTGGCGCTGTGGCTCCAAAAAGCTACATTATTTACAAGCGAAGAAGAAGAAGAAAGGAAAAATGACAGCAAGCTAACAGCTAAAAGGGCTGGTAAGATTCGTGGTTTAATCACACTCGTTAACGTGTTTAGATAGTTATTGTGTTAATGAATCAGATATAATAATGAAGTCTGAAAATCACAGTTTATTTTATTTTATTGTCTTTAAGTTGCTTCGATTGGGTACCGGTCTGTGTGATGTGCTAAGCTAACGTCATTTAGCTACATTTAAGCATTAATATCTCATTACACAAATACTAAAATAACAATATGTTACTTTCTGTGACTTTTTCTTTTAAACCTTTTAAAAGGATGATTATTTAGCAGCTTCACTTTTTATTTAAACTTTTCTTTMGTTTTCTTATAGAATAGCAAAGATYTGTAACCTAAATATTGATGGAAAGRTATTTTAACAAAAATGTTCACAAGAGTTTTACGTTAAAACAAATAGTTTCTGGGTCAATTTAATCTTATTGTCCAGAACTATCACTGAACAATGTAAAAAGCTGTCATCTGTCACACATATTGACATAATATCTACMTTATTTCTGTCTGAAGGTCTTCAGCTGTTTGGTTTTTAGCAGAAAAAGATAAAAATATAAAACAGTTACAAGCTGAGAAGAAACTTGACTCCGTCACAAGAAGAAAGTCTAGACTCACCTGTCTACCTGATGAGCTTTTTTCTAGGTTTTTCTACTTGTATATTTCCTTAAAAAGTGCTTTAAAGCTTTTGCACAGGGCTGTACGTTTCTTTAAATTTAAATTCTTTAATTTCAGGCCTTTTTTAAAGCTTTGGATCAAAGGATGTACCAGTCAGGATGGGACAGACGTTGTGTATTTGCTCTCGTGGCTCCATCACCATTGACAACAAAAAATATTACTTTGTCCAGAAACTAGATGAAGGGTAAGTACTTTGTTTATTTATCTCTGATGTCAAAAGATAAAAGTACATTTTAAATATTTATATTAAACAGAGTCTTTGTGCGRTCTTGTTCTGATTCGAGTCACAAATGAAGATATTTTACACAAAAACCAATAAAGAGATTATTAGAAATACATAAAACAGCTATGTACTTAATAGTTACATACCTGGTACTCATGGGGTTAAAACCTGGTACTTACATGGAACTCACCAGATACACATTTTAGATTTATATATGCAGTACTTAGCAGTTACGTTTGGGGTATTTTGCAGGTAGATACCAGATACTCACTCTGTCAGGTAGGGACTGTGTACTCAGTAAGTACATATAAGCTGCTAGCAGGGTACATGTCAGGTTTGTACTGGATACTCATGAGAACCAGACTGTATTATGAGGAGTGTTGTTACCTTATATATACCACCAGGTGTGTACTAGGTACATACCTGTACCAAGCTGTATTTTGAAGGGATTTGTTACTCTGTACATACAAAGTACTTAGCTGGCACTTACAGGGTATGTAACCAGGTACTTGCTGGTACATGAGTACCTTGGATGTGCCAGGTTGTGTTATTGTTGCAGTTTTTCTGTATGTGTACTTCTGAGCTGTGCTCTCTGCGGCTCCTCCAGCGGGTTCAGCTTCGTGGATCTGGTGGAGGGAGCGAAGGACGGGCGCTTCTACGCGCTGAAGAAAATCCTGTGCCACGACCGGCAGGCCCGTCAGGAGGCTCAGAGCGAGGTGGAGATGCACCAGCTGTTCAGCCACCCCAACATCCTGGGCCTGGTGTCCTTCGCCTTCATGGAGAGCGGYGGGAAGACGGAGGCCTGGCTGCTGCTGCCTTTCATCAGGGTGAGTCGGGCCGGCTCGGACGCCCAGGCCCGTCTTCCAGGAAGTGGTCTCTGATGGTGTTTGTGTGTTGTTGAGCAGAAAGGAACGCTRTGGTCTGTTCTGGAGAAGCTCAGAGACAAGGGAAGCTCCATGCCTGAAAAACAGCTTCTACAAATCTTTGCTGGGATCTGCTCCGGTTTGAAGGCCATCCATGACAAAGGCTACGCCCACAGGTGAGACGTCTGAACGTTACAGACCTGCAGCTTTTATAGCTTCTTCATTTCTGTGAGAAATCAGGTTTGTCTTAACCTCTGGAGCCCCCGGTACCAGGGGCAACACAGTGTTTTTCTGTTTTTATGTCTTTTAACTTATTTTAACCTAAGATCTGTCAGTTGAACCTGGACATGTTTGGTATCAATAGAAACCTAAGCATCTTGGCTAAAAACTCATGGATAATTATAATATAAATAGTCAAATAATAATAATATTTTTACATCAATCAAACACAGTTCAAATGACATGCAGTTAAATCAGAAAGTAAAACTGTACAAAATGTTATCATTGCAAATCTGTAAAG